CTTCTGTACCTTGGTGAATGCTCTAGTATTTACTAGATATAGGGTAGTCTGGTATATAAAAGAGGGTGACAGAGTAATGTAATGTGTGTGTAGATAGTGAGTAATTGAACTGCAGTCAGAAGTATTATTGACGTTCGTTGATATAGCGTTTGTTTTAGTGCGATTGTTGAAAATAAGTGTATCGTAAAGTTGTAATACAAAGAATAAACCAGTTTTATTAAGAAAAGAACTTGTGTCGCTAAAGTTTCGTCGGAACGAAGTTACGAAAAGTTAATTAACAAACGGAGACGTAACATTATTTTACCAGAAACCTACTTGCTTTCTCCAAGTCCTTCTGCACTTCATCTCATTTTAAAATACCACAGCATTGCATTGAAATTAGTTTTTAAAATAAGAACTGTTCATACTATTACAAGGTCAATTTTCTTTTAAGTTGTCAGGGGCACAATTATGATCGTTAGTATGTAATTTATTCATTACAGCATTCTGATTCATGCCCCTGTAATAGGATGAAAATTAAATTTCTCTTACTTGAGCTTTTTTCTCTACTGAGTGAGAGAACAATTCTTCAAGCCCTATGGGAACCTGTTAGGTATGGTGGTATTACTGGCTCATGCAACATGATTTTCTGTTACTATAAGATCTTTGGCCAGCTCTCCAGTTGAGCACTGGTCATAAGACTGAATGACATTCATTTAGAGAATTTAGGGAGAATTTTCAACAAATGGCAAAAACATAGTACTGCTGTTTTCTCAAAATTTGAGTAAATTAAACTGAAACGATGTTTTTAATGAGTAACTGGTTCAGCTTTATACTGCATGAATTAGCAAGATTTTAATCTTCTTATGTATTAAATATATTTCTTGTACACAAAAATTGTACTCTACTTGTTGGTCTTTTAACCCTAGAACTACCTGTTTCTGAAACACTTTCTGAAGTTCTTAATATTAGAAATCAATGACATTATAACATCAAATTTGTTATTTTTCTTTTATTGTACTCTCACCACTTCACTTTACAGCTTATCCAGGAGCATTCCACTAAAACACAAACAATAACTGACAGAACAAAGCTTCAAATGGTTTAAATAATAAATTCTAATCAAATCTATATCATGCATTTCTTCATTGTTCATTTGACATATGAAGTTGTTAAGTAGTAAAGTTTATTGCTGAAAGAATTGTATTGTTGAAATAATTGACTGCTACTTGTAGTAAACAAAAGTTCTACCCAAGTTACAGATTGAAATGACAAAAGATAAGATGAAAAAATAAAATAAAGTTATAGGTGCCATCCTTTGTCCCTATTCATCTGTGGCCTAGCTGTTTGATGAGAACTTCTTTAAAATTTCTGTCAATGTACTTGATGGCTTTGGTAAGGATTTCTACAGAGAATGGTAGTTTCATGTCAGGTGTTATTTGTCCATGATTAGTTAAAAATTATCTGCATTTGTGCTTCTTTCATGTTGTTCTTTATAAATAGAGTGAATATGTTGTCAGATCCTTGTGTTTATTGCTCTTATGGTTTCCCCAATGTATGTATGATGACAGATGTTATGTGTAAACTGGTAAACAATATTGGATATAAGACACCCATCTTTAGATTGCAAACACATTTTTGTAAGACAGTTTGCTTTATTACATTGTGGAGTAGTGTAATGAGAATTTAAAAGTTTGCTTTTTATGGTTGGATGTGGCCATTCTTTCCAAAAAGTATACTTGAATATATTGGCTTCCCTTGAATAAACTTTTTATTCTGTTCAATGGAACCATTACAATGAAAATGGAGAAGCAACTAAACCTCTGCTTGCTATGAACAACAGCAAAAGTAATTGTAATACATAGTAAAATGTCACAAACTCAATCTCTACTATTGAAACTGATAACATAGATTCCGACATTAATTCCATTTCTGAAATTTGTTCAACTACAGATGTAACAAATCATGCAGCTTCCAAGAATCTCAGTAAACACTCTTTTGATACTAACAAGCAACAACCATTCCATGCTAATAAAAATATTAAAACAAAAGTTGTAGATATGAGGAAAAAGGTCAGGAATGTTTTACAAATACATAGATATCATCAAGCCAAACCTAACTTACATCCCCAAGAACAGTTAATTCTTAAAAAGATTATTAGAGATTATAATATCATTATCAATGAATTGAACAAATGTAAATGTTTTGTATATATGAGCAGAAATGCCTACGACCGAAAAAAAAAAATATTTGATCACCTAAAAGATGAGAATAAGTTTCAAATACTTTACAGGGACCCCACCAAAAACATTTAGATGAAAGCTAAAGAGATTATTTATGAACTTACAAAACAAGTATTTTCTCTAGATGAACTTAAACCCTTTAATAGCCACATTCCAGAATTATACGGTTTACCAAAAGAACATAAACTGGATATGTCAACCTCTAAATCTAAGCCAA